AATATCATAATATCATCAGTAATGACCCTCCACGCCACACCACTACACCACCTACACATCACCATTACCATCACCTCACACGCCAACACCTCCACACATCAACACATTTACAACACCATTACCACCACATCCAAAACACCAACACATCCATAATACCACTGTCACCATCTCTACACACACACACACCACCACCTCCACACACCAATCACCCTACACCACCACCTCTACATTCACACACAAACACATCCACCAACAAAAACACATCCACACACTAACACCTCCACACACTAACACATCCACAACACCATCAACACAAGCACACCCAGACACCAACACCTCCACACACAATACCACTATCATCACCTCCACACACCAACATATAAGTTCCAAGTAATCATTTATATTTCCAAGTCACTGTACGAGCAATCAACACCACCACTTATATTCGACGCACAACAAGAACATAATAGAGCAAACATAAATCATAATCCAACATCAACCAAAAAGCACCCCTTGTTTCCAAGTGATTGCAAGTGCAATCAACACCACCACCTATTTTCGCCCAACAAAAAAAAACATAAAAGAGCAAATAGAAAACCAAAATCCAATATCAACAAAAGATCATCACCTATTTCCAAGTCATTGCAGTGGAATTCCCAAAAATCCCAAAACCCAACATCAACTGAAAGCCATCGAAAGATAAGAGCACAACGAACCCACAATATTCTCTGTCACATAAACATTTGCAAAATAAAAAACCACAACATTCATGCTAAGGTAGGGAATGTTGAAATAGAGCGGAGTAAATGATAAAAAATCACCACACGAAAAGGAACCATCTCTTAGAGGGTGGATCAAATGATCCAAACAGAGCCAAACAACAGAGAGAGGAGAGGGAGAGGATAACTCACCACAATAGTTAATATATGGAAGCGAGAGAGAAAGAGGCAACATCGTATTGGTAAGAATCACAAGAGAGAGAGAGAGGGAATTAGAACAAGAATCGTGAGAGAGGCAGCCCCGTGAGGATCGCGAGAGAGAGGGATGCTAGGGTAAGACTCACAAGAGAGAAAGAGGTAGAAGGGTAACGTGAGGGTAGCCATGTCACAACATAATCAAGGAATGCAGGCTGTGGGGTCGAACCTATGACCACATTTCCTCCAAATTAATCATGAGAAGTAGCCACGCCATAATTTCCAAATGACAGAGGGAGCTTTCTGAAACCGCATCACATCAAATAATCTAGCTTATCCAGATAAGCTGTTGATCAGCAGCTGATCCGGATAAGTTGTTTGTATGTTTGGTTTTTGCGTTTGGAAAACAGCTGATTCTGGATAAATGATCATTCTGCCACTGTTTTGAATAAACTGTTTAGTCGTTAGTTTAATATAATTTGTATTATTTCTTAATCAATTAACTATTTATCTAGTTAATGATTAATAAGAATTTTGTTAAACTAATTAATCACTAATTAATATTTTATTATTAATCATTAACTAGTTATTTATTAAGTTATATCATCATTAATTAGAATTTACTAAACTAATCAAGCATTAATCAATACTTCAACTTTCATTAATTAGTCGTAAGATTCTGCCAACCTTTTTTTTTAAAATTGGTAGTGGGCCTATTAATACATTCACACACAAACACATCCACCAACAAAAACACATCCACACACTAACACCTCCACACACTAACACATCCACAACACCATCAACACAAGCACACCCAGACACCAACACCTCCACACACAATACCACTATCACCACCTCCACAAACAAGCAATGAACCACACCAACACATCAACATCATTGTCATTACCTCCACACACCAACATATGACTCATATAAGTTCCAAGTAATCATTTATATTTCCAAGTCACTGTACGAGCAATCAACACCACCACTTATATTCGACGCACAACAAGAACATAATAGAGCAAACATAAATCATAATCCAACATCAACCAAAAAGCACCCCTTGTTTCCAAGTGATTGCAAGTGCAATCAACACCACCACCTATTTTCGCCCAACAAAAAAAAACATAAAAGAGCAAATAGAAAACCAAAATCCAATATCAACAAAAGATCATCACCTATTTCCAAGTCATTGCAGTGGAATTCCCAAAAATCCCAAAACCCAACATCAACTGAAAGCCATCGAAAGATAAGAGCACAACGAACCCACAATATTCTCTGTCACATAAACATTTGCAAAATAAAAAACCACAACATTCATGCTAAGGTAGGGAATGTTGAAATAGAGCGGAGTAAATGATAAAAAATCACCACACGAAAAGGAACCATCTCTTAGAGGGTGGATCAAATGATCCAAACAGAGCCAAACAACAGAGAGAGGAGAGGGAGAGGATAACTCACCACAATAGTTAATATATGGAAGCGAGAGAGAAAGAGGCAACATCGTATTGGTAAGAATCACAAGAGAGAGAGAGAGGGAATTAGAACAAGAATCGTGAGAGAGGCAGCCCCGTGAGGATCGCGAGAGAGAGGGATGCTAGGGTAAGACTCACAAGAGAGAAAGAGGTAGAAGGGTAACGTGAGGGTAGCCATGTCACAACATAATCAAGGAATGCAGGCTGTGGGGTCGAACCTATGACCACATTTCCTCCAAATTAATCATGAGAAGTAGCCACGCCATAATTTCCAAATGACAGAGGGAGCTTTCTGAAACCGCATCACATCAAATAATCTAGCTTATCCAGATAAGCTGTTGATCAGCAGCTGATCCGGATAAGTTGTTTGTATGTTTGGTTTTTGCGTTTGGAAAACAGCTGATTCTGGATAAATGATCATTCTGCCACTGTTTTGAATAAGTTGTTTAGTCGTTAGTTTAATATAATTTGTATTATTTCTTAATCCATTAACTATTTATCTAGTTAATGATTAATAAGAATTTTGTTAAACTAATTAATCACTAATTAATATTTTATTATTAATCATTAACTAGTTATTTATTAAGTTATATCATCATTAATTAGAATTTACTAAACTAATCAAGCATTAATCAATACTTCAACTTTCATTAATTAGTCGTAAGATTCTGCCAACCTTTTTTTTTAAAATTGGTAGTGGGCCTATTAATCAGCTCGACCTCCCTCAGATAGAGATCACAAAATATACTAGTGGCTTCTCTATCTCACATGACTGATGATCCAACCTCTTTATGTTTACTCATTTTTTACTGTGACAAAAATGGATGGTAAGATGACACGTATGTAAAAAATGAAATTTATATTTTATGCATAGGAAAGATGGCATGCATGTTAAAAATGAAGTTTAGATGCATCTTTAGGTTTACTCCATGGAGCATACCACCATTAACAATTGTTCATCAACTCTTATAGTGCAAGAAAATGCTACATTGACATAATTTAGTATTACTATGGACATTGGCAATTGTTCATCGATCATTCACTATATTCTTATTGACACACAAAACTTTATTATACAGAAATGCACAAATACATATTTGGTTGTAACCAATCAAAAGTACTTGGAAGTCATTCCTTGCATTAACTGTAACAAATAAATAAGATTGGCATATTCCATTCCAATCAACTATCGACAATTGCCTGCAATTCTATCACATATACACAACAAGTTTTGCATGATTTTTATAATTTTTGCACATAAAATGATATGAAATATTCAATTTCTTGATAATAATTCAAATATTTATATTAGCTCTTATTTTCATTCTATGCCTCCAAAAAATAACAAGTCCTCCAAATAATCCTAAAGGCATCTAAGAACTCTAATAAGCTAAAATTATGGAGAGGATCATAAATCTTTAAGCTCAAATATAAACCATTCAAAAAGCATCATGTTATCAAATACCGAGCTTCAACCTAGTATTACAAGAAGCTGTTTCTGGAGACATGTACGAATCTCGGCTGATCAATGAAGGATTTATGATATCAAAAACTGACAAGTACCAAACCTGAGCTTACCAAACATATGGAGTACTTATCATATCAAAAACCGACAAGTATCAAATCTTTCCAATTCTCAAACGCATCAAGAACATCATAAAACAAGTACCTGATCTTTCCAATTCTCAAAACGCATCTAGAACATCTTTCCAGCTTCAACAAAAAACCGCAAAGAACCAACTATTTCTGGTATTTGAACCAAATTAAATATAGGAGCAAATGTAAAAATAAGGTTTCTGAAAAACCTCAAAGATCTAAGCCACAAAGATCAAAACCAACTGCTTCTGGCTTACAAATACATAAAAGATATTGAGGTTTCTGGATCTAACCGTGACCATAAAACCGCATAGATGCAAAACACCATAAAGACCCAACCGTAACCACAAACCGCAAATAACCATAACATTCTCGCAGATCAATGCAGAAGAAGAGGAGATGAGGGATGAAGAAGAAGAGGGAGGAGAGAAGGGAGCACAATTTTTTTTATCACAAATCACCTTCTTCTCGGTAGCTAGGGCGACGATCCAGGGCAAGCGACTAGCGAGGGCAATGAAGGAAAAAAGGAGGCTGAAAACACGATCCGCAGGTAAAGCCCCGTGCTCGCTGTTTAGTCTAAACAGTGAAACATATGTTTTAAAAACGCGGAGGAGATACAACATCGTACTTTTAAGCGGCCCCAATCCGGACCTAAATCCGTACCTAAATGTTAATTGATTCAAACGAGGTCAACAGGAGAAATTATTGCGTACGGACATCACATATATCTCTGCATGTGGTGTCTGATCTTGACCGTAGATCACGGTGATCTACGGTCAGAATTATTTCTATTTTTTTAAAAAAAAAATTTTAGGTGGGGCTCACCGAAATATATCGGGATCGTAGATCAAGTGATTTACGGTCCGGATCGGACACCGTATGTAAGGTGCGTGCGGTGTCCGATTCCGGCCCGGATCGGACACCGTGTGTAAGGTGCGTGCGGTGTCCGATCCTTATGGAATAATTTTTCAATCCTCAGAAAATTACATAATAGCAAATCGGTCCACGTTAAGGTTTTAAGCTTCTGCGGATCACTGAACTCTCTCCACCCTTTCACTCTTCTTCTTGGGCGTGTATGCTGGTCCACTTCTGTGATGCGGGGACGCCGATTACGGATTAAAACTAATAAATGGAGAAATCTGGTGAGTGATGAAGTTACCCGCAGTTACTTGAGATAGTGAATCGTCGAAATTTTTTTCAGAAGCTATTCGGTTTCGTCGATTTTTATCTCTGTTTGTGAATCAAGCTCTAGGGTTTTACTGATCGGTCTGAATTGTGGAACTGATTAAAAACTGTTGATTAGTTTTAAAGTTCAATTTTAATTGATTTTGGAGTTTCTGGTGTAATCCTGTCGTGGCTCCAATGGGAATGCTGTACTTTTTCCGCCTTATATTCTGTGAATCCCGTTTTGATTGCGTTGATGTGTAGCATTTTATGATTCTCAATGAGTAAGGAACTCATTTGGACATTTCATAATATTCGTTGAGTTGTAGAGTAATTGTTTCAGATTGTCGGTGTATTTTTGCATCCGTTTCATGGTACAGTTTTAAGTGTAGAAGACGATGGGAAATGGACTTAATGAATTGATAGTCCCTTTTTTTGGATGTTTTGATTATAGGAAACAAAATTGCCAAGGATGTCGTTATATAATTTTTTGGATAGGTTGGGCCTCAAAAGTCAAAAACCGTTGAATTTTCTTTGAGATGAGTGTGAGATAAATTATCCACGTATAGCACTATTTGCAAAGATAATCCAATAGTTTCAAGTGCCATTCTGACTAAAATTGTATTAGGATATCGCGACACATTTTGTTTTTCCTTGCTTGTCAATGAGTTCATATTTTGACATGTCATAATTTGGCGGCTGAACCCCAAGGGATTTAAAGAAGCTGAAGATTAAAAAAGTGTATGAAGAGGAAGTACTCTGTCAGTGCTGACATTTTAAAAGTGTTTCTCAAGTATTTTGTCAAAATTTAATTAGCAACAACTGATGCTACTCTTACTTAAATAACCCAAAGCAGTTGTGTTAAACCTGTTTCCTTTTGCATTGGAGAACACTATCATGTAATTTAAATATTTCTAAAGTATTGTTACTATTGGTCATTTGGTGGTTGTGGTAGTATAACAGAAGGCTCTATTGTACTATGGTTCATACCACTCCTAACTATTATAGAAATTAGTTTGGGATTCTTCAAATTCATTTGTTTTAACTGAGTAATATGTTTGATTTCATCAATGTTTTTCCTCTTATTTAGATCTCTACGAATTTGAGTACTTTAAAAATCAATTTCTACTTTTATGATTCTCTTCATCAATACTGAATAATGATTAATTTTTAAAGGCACTAAAGGTTTTATGATCACATTCTTCAACTCAAATAAGAATTAATGACATTATTTTTGTACATTTAAAATTAGTTGTGCATGTCTTAACATTGTAGTAAACTTTGCTTCATTTTGCATGGTCGATTTATATCCTTGTACCAATCTTATAAATTTATCTTGCATCTGCCTTCATGTAAAATATTGAATAAACCGTTTTATGAAAATTTCTACAAAATATTCTCAATTAATTGGTATATTGGGTTTGTCTCTTAACACGTCATGGCATTACCTTCTATGCTACCTTTTTGTTTATCTCTCCAAAATAAATATAACAAATGACACATTTCTTTCATAAGGAAATCATACCATTCTATATCTTTTTAATCAAAATACCCAATTTTCTGCATTATTTGTTTCCTTAGTTTTGGTAAATAATTGCAGTCGCAAGTCTTAGAATAGCTTCAAATATTTACTCATTGCAGTAGTATTATTATTGTCACCAAATTAAGACAAGTTTTAGATCAACCGTATCATTACTGCCATCACTAGGGTAAGAGCATTGTTGCTCATGGTAACATTAGGTGATACTCAATCTTCTATCGTATTTCTATCTCTTGCATCCTCGTAGTTATACATATAGATGGAATAGATAAGAAAATAATACATAAGTAATGTTAATATACTATCTAAATTAAACTTCTTTAATGAAAAAATTTCTCGTTAATTATTTTAGTTGCTCCTCTATTATAATTTATATTATTCAATTCAACCACAACTTTGATACCACTTTTATCACGACTTGGCTCGACAATTTTTTTTATCACAAATCACCTTCTTCTCGGTACCTAGGGCGACGATCCAGGGCAAGCGACGATCCAGGGCAAACGACTTAGCTCGGAATTTTAGAGTTTTCAAGGTCGGAACAAGTTGTTAGACAGTATTTAAATTACATTTAGTAATTTCAAATCCCATATTAAAATAAAATTTATAAATATCCTAAAAAATGATAACTTTAATATAAAAAAAGGTCATTAATCTATGAATTTTATTCTAAACTAAAAAAATATAACAATTCTAGAAAAAAAATTATTGTTCCCTTATGGCTACTAGTTTACAATGCATTGATTTTCTTCTTACTTATTTCTTTCTCAAGACTTATATTGAAAATTTTAATTTAATTAATAATTATGATTTTTAAATAATTCACTGGATTCATTATACGACCAAAGTGCATTAGCATAAATAACTTTATAAAATAATATGTAAGCTAGATAAATTAAATAAATTTATATGAAATCATTTAAATTTTTTATTTTTTAAAAAATGTCATTATAAAAAATCTTGAAAATTCAATAACATAATAAGAAGAAACCATCTCATATCTTATCATATTAATTTTATATTATTTTTATATTTATATCTCATGCCCATTATTAAATTTTTTAATTTATGCGTCGGTACTTTAGCATCCCCGTTAATACTATAAAGGAATGAATTTCATCAATTATAATACTTATGCAAATAACTCTATATAATATATTTTTATGTCACTTTTTAAGTCATTAAATATCTTTCAACAATAAATAGTGCATAAAATAACAAACTTAAGCATGATTGGAAATTTATTACATTTATTTTAACAAAATCAGTTATTTAGAAGTGGATAGAAACCATAAATAGCTTGCAATAGGATTTGATTTGATTAGCATCAAAATCAATTAATGCATTTGATCTAAAGAAAAAATATTATCATTATAATTTAGAAATAAGAGTACATACTAAAAGATGTGCAAATATTATTTCTTAACATCAACTTCAACCTCGTTTCTTCAAGTCATATTCTTATAAATCAACCTACTCTATAAATAAGGTAGCACAACATTATCGCTTGAAATTTCACTCTTCAGTAAATTTAATATCTATTTACTTAATTCTACTTATAATTATTCTTATATTATAAATTGCTCAAATTAATTCTCCACGAATATGTATCACTATCTTGAATGTATTTATAATTAATAAATCATGAGAACTTAATATTACAAATCACTTGTACCTATTTTGATTAAATTGATAATAAATTTTTAATTTGTTTCTTATAAATATCGTATTGCAACCATTCATTAATTCTTATTCATGACATATAGATTACGTGAATATCAATTCGTAACATAGAGATTATAATTTTTAAAATTATCTTATTTATCAATTGAGAGAATGATTGAATACAAATTACAATTTTTGCAATCAGTAAGAATGATTTAGTTAATCATTTATAATTTTATAAAACAATTTCATTACTAGGCCTTGCCTAAATCAATATTTCTTTTTTGTCCAGCATAACTTACATTTTTACAACCTTGGCATAAATTCTTCTTTATGGTTAGCTTCTCTTGAAAATTTGTATTATATTAGATTATGGTTTGACTTTCTTCCAAGAGAAAGAGAAAGTGAAGAGCTTGCCCTCCATTGATTCCTTGCCTAATCGGTGTCTTACGCTTTGTATTGTCAAAAATGCAAGATGTACGTCTTACCTTTTTTCTTGCTTGTCTCCCTTCTCTCTCTTTCTCACGATCAATTGTGCCATCACCCTCACCCTCGTAATATCTACCTCTTTTGGTCTGTCTCTTCTTTCACATGCTCACTCTTTTTTTTTCTCTCATTTTTTTTCAGTCTCCCCTCTTGTTCAATTTCTTCATCGTCTTCACCTCCCTCTTTACCTCTCTTCTTAAAAAGGCATAATCAACTAGTATCAATTTAGTTGTATCTTCATTAGTTGATTAATTATATTTTTTAATCGGGGTTTAAATAAAGTGTATGAATGTATTTTTGAATCTCATAATATTTATGTTATTATTGACTAGAATCATTATTTGATCTATTTTAACTTACACCATCTGTTAAAGTTATTGATGGAATTAATGTCTTACTTTTATTTGACAAGATGAGACAACCATATGCTTTGATACAAATTTAAAGTGGGATGATTTAAGTTTAGGGTCAATCTTATTTAAAATTCTCTAAGATCATATCTCTCATCAAATATAGGAATGTAATTTTGAGCATCACAATAGTTATGTTACTATTGGCTAAAACCATAACTTAATTTTGTTTGAATTATTAATTAGTATTTTTTACTCAGTTTATGTCATACATTTATTTAAGTGGTGATGCAACCAAGATTTTGAAAACCGAACCAGACATCAAACTGGAAAGAGAGGTTTAAGTTTCATCGGTTCAATCAGGGTTGAACTGGAGGATGTAATAAATATAAGTTTTGATTAAATATAATTTAAATGATAAAATAATGATATATTAATGATAAATATATATAAAAAAAACTAATAATAGTTAAGAATGGAAAAACTGCCATAATTTAACGTACAGATTCATTTTGCATTTGTAAATTTCAAATGAAATGTGCAAAATTATAAGTTTAACACTAATGACTAATGAGTCATTAATTATATTAAAGTAAAATATTAAATAAAATATTTAATTTAAATTAATTATGAATAAATAACTTGAGATCCGATACAATTCTCTTCTTTATTTAAACAAACAGATATCTATAAATTTGGAAAGGCCTGTTTAGGAGAATTCTTTTATATTTTAAAGTTTAAACTTCCCATTTCCCAATTCATTGTAACTGAGTATTATTTAAATAATGCTAAATCTGACAATATGTTTTTTTTTGGAATTTAACAATGTGTACATTTGAAGCTTTGAACCATTTTTTCATTTCCAATGTGAGAAGCAAAGCTGCGAGATGTGGGAAGTGGAGGAACCACATAAATGTTGAACTGGTTCATCGGTTTACAGATTGAACCACTGGTTCGAATGCTTATGGGTTGTTCATGGTTAGAAAAGGTTTTTTATATGGTTCGGCTCGGACTGGCCACAACTAGTTTTATATACCATGGATACAACCATAAAGGCTAATACCAATTTAGTATTGGATTGTTTAGATTCAGAGTTTCCTATTATAACTAGAATGATGCAATGAATATAGATCACAAGGGAACTTAAGATTATATATTTCATACCACTAAATATGTCAAAAATTGCTTTATTTAAATTGAAACCAATAAATGCAAACATTAGAACCTAAAGAATACTGCATTGATAGAAATAACCAAAAGAAATCAACAAAATATTTAAACCACTCTACATCAATGGGCAATTAAAATTTATTTACAACGAGCTGAACCTAGATGGGTCAAATTTGAACAAACATAGGATCACTTAGAAGAAAATGATAAAATATAGGAGAAATTAGGTCAAAGAAAGTATTCACCAAAACAAAAAAATAAATAAAACATAATGTCGGTACATGAAAAGGACTCTCCTGGGATTAGGTTGTCTTGTTTCTCATCCAGTTTCTCATCCAGTTTCTATACAGAAGATTTAAAATTAGAAGAAGAAAATTTTTTAAATTAAAATTATTAAGTTTATGCCTTAGACTTATGCCTCATCTCTAAGATAGTAGACATAATTTTCACAAAATTAGCATATTTTAATTTCATTTACCATCAAATTCAAACATTGTTTTCTTTCCATAATTCTGTCAAATTCAACAGCGTTATAACAATAGAAAAAGAGAATCTTAAATCACCTTCACGTCAGCATAAACAACACTTAATAGGCAAATGCATGGCATAATGATTATGAATAAAAATCGCAATGGCATTGCAACAACCAGACCTGAATTATCCGTGGGCAACCAAAATATACCATATTAGCATCCAAAGTCAGAGGAAAACTACAAACTAGGAGAGAAGTACTACAATCACGAAGAAAAGCAGCTAAAGCTCGCATCAAGATTTGTTTCCTGTCCTACAGTTTTTGTTTATTGCTTCATATTTCATCTATATTTTTCCACCTTTGAGGATTAGATTCAATTGCTATCTTTGAGAGTTATCGTGATACACTGCCCTTGTTTCATCATGTTTTGTTAACTATTTTCAAATATCTAATGCATGTGGTTTTAGCTGTCATCAGAGAAAATTTTTTAGTTTTGGAGTTCCTTCCTTTATGATAGTTATTCTCAGATACACTGCCCTTGTTTCATCATGTTTTGTTAACTTTTTTCAAATATCTAATGCATGTGGTTTTAGCTCATCAGAGAAAATTTTTTAGTTTTGGAGTTTCTTCCTTTATGATAGTTATTCTCATTTTTCCTACAAGAAAAAATAACAGGCTTCCGATTCCTTATTTTTATGAATTCTGAAAGCAGGAGGTAACCGAGTGTTTGATTTCGCACCTCCTATAGAAGGTTTGGCTGGAGGGGGCACTGCTTATGGATGGAGTGATGGCGGCCTTCAGGATTCAGTTTTTAACTCTGGTGAAGTCGATCCCACTAGAGTTCCAGCAGCAGATTTGTTACATGTATGGTCCATGCCAAGCACAGCTAATGTTGGACAACAAGAAATGCCTCGACCTTTGGAGAATGTATGGCTTACTTCTCTTGATAGTTTTGCTTGGAAATTAGGTATTGTGTTTTACTTGCTTTTTTATTCATTTTGCTCGCTCGGGTGAGGGACTTGGTTGACTCTTTCTGGATTATTGTTATATGATCACACCAGGGGATTTTTTGCATATTTCTTCATGCTTTACTGGCAAAACCCGGGTTTCATATGCACATTAATAGAGTATGTACTTCCTCTGTGATAAACAAGTTTGCTGTCATAATTTTGAAAATTTTCTGTATTTTTTTCTTTCATACTTTGATAAAAGTTTAAGAAGAACTCCTTTTTTATGTTTATTTTTTCTTGAACTTATAGTTTATGGGGATAAATGGTTCGGATTAATGGGGTTAAATGTAAGCTCTCATATTTTTGCGAGCCATATTTTTCTATTTTGGTAAATATTTTGGGTAAATGCTTCTAATCATTGATTGACAAATGATTATCATGATGGCTTAAATGATGAATTTTATAAATTATGATTCACATCCATTAAGAGACTAATGTATAGTTCTCTTTAGATGTATATGACCACAATTAAGGCATTCGGACTAGGCTTCTATTTAGAAAACAAAGAAACTAGCTTGTAGTTTGAAAAAGCTTCCATGTTACTCACCCAAAACTTAGTATTCTAGCCAGAAGATAATAAGAGAGGTGATCTCTTACTAAGATCAAAATCAAGACGATGAAATTAGGGTTTATGGCAACTTTTGGCTTGAGTTATAAAGGGGAGAAAATCTTTCCCACTCTTGCCTAGGCTGGCAAGAGCGTAGCTTTCCCCGTTGCTTCTTATGATTGCTCTTTCTGAGTCACTTCTCTCCTTTTGCTTCTTCTCTAAAGCTAAAGCTTTTGGAAAGTTGGGTGCTGTTGGATGGAGGTATAAAGCCTTGTAGGTAGGGCAGATGGTATTTTTTGTGCTTGTTATGTTCCTTCTAAGTTCACCTGCAGAATGAACCCATACCCTGCATACATTCTTCTTGCATTTACAATATATACTTTTGTTCTCCACTCCAAAAATAATATTTCTGTACCACAAATAAGGACTCTTAAGGACATAACACTATTCTTAGGGAACTACATCACAAATAATTTCAGCTATATATTGTCCAGTATTGGAAAACTTTTTTGTGCATTGCCTATCATCTATAAACTTGGAATCATTCTTAATCTGACCCAAGGAATGAGGACTTGGCTGCATGTAGTTTTGCAACTTTACTTTATTAAATTGGGCAATAAATACTAAACTACAGCAATTGTCTATAATGATACTTGTAATAGGTTATTTTACCTTAGCGTACAAATTAAAAGCTCCTCGTTCTTTTCTTCATCCCCCTTAGTCCATCGAGCATGATACTTTAGCCTTCACCAAGTGATACCAGAGTTAACTCAAACCCCAATAAGGAAAGCAAATATTATTACTAAAAAACAACTAGTGGTTATAATTAGAGACACTTGAAACTAGGAAATAATAAAGACATAATACGGCTCAACTAGGGCTAAGGGCAAAGACGAAGGTGTTGTGGTTTAAGGGGAAATATGAACCTCTGTAGGTTGGAAGCGGGTGGATGGGTTGTAGCAGGAAATATGAACCTCTGTAGGTTGGAAGCGGGTGGAAGGGTTGTAGCAAGCAGGTGACAGGTAGGTGGCTGGAACGGGGCGGTGGCAGGTGGGAGGTGACTGAAGAGGAAGCTGGCAGCAAGTTGTAGGGACTGGAAGCGGACCAACAGCAGATTGTAGGGACTGAAAGAGGAGAAAGTAGGTTGGAGGTGGCTGAGAGGTGGGTAGCAGCCTGGAGGTGGCTGGAAACAGGGTGACAATAGGTAGGGGGTGGTTTGAGGGCCCGACAACAGGTTATAGGCTTGAAATCCCGTTTCTGTCACTGTGGAGAAGAAACAAATTGATGCATTTTCAGGTGAGCCACTAATACATTCTTCAGTGAGCTCATGCAAAAATTGAATTTTTAGTTTGAGCTAGAGCCGGCTCGTGAGCTGGCTACTACCACTACAACTAGAGCTCAAGCTCGTCATTTGAGCTTGACATGAGCTCAAGCTCACAATTTGGCAGAGGAACAAAGCTTGATAAGGGCATAGCTCGAGCTCAGCCTGACTCGTTTACACCCCTATCCTCAGTTCCCTCTAAAATGACTTAAGGTCAGTGCCACTTGGGATTCTCGAGCTGGCTGGAGAAAAGTTATGCGTGGGTCCTATGACTTCTCCCTTACAGGTACATCTACTCCATAATCCTTGTGGGTAAGAGAACGACAGCACGTGTTCTTGAAGCCATTGTGCTATGTTTTGCAATCAAACTGCTATAGCCTCTCCAACAGAATGTGACAGGTGTCTATGGGCACCACGTCATAACACACCTGATCCTGTAGTTTGTCTTCAATGGAAAACTGTACAAGGAATGTGTTTCTTTTCTTCAACATGTCAAGGAATAGGGATGACAGTGTTTCTATGTAGTCAGCTCCAACTTCTTCACCATGAAAGTGGAGACCAAGTTCTCACAGCTTCCTCCATCAATAATGAGGCTGCAATTTTCCCTCTCGCCGTACTTGGTGCGGAAGATACTGTGCCTCAACCATGAGTGATTCCTCAACGGTTCTTTCCGCATAACTTTTTGTACAACTAGCATTTCCCCTTCATCTCTCTGGAGCTGGTAATCCTCATCCTGATCCTCTGCTGCTTCTTCATCACTCACTTCCTCCATGACACCCTGCTTGGTGAATGACACTACTCGGTTTGTTAGGTAGCTGGAGGTGATCTGGCCATATCTGTGGCATCATAAGCATTTCTGGTCTGAAATTGTACTGGATGTGCTGCTCTTGTCAAGCTTCTTCACTGTCTAATTTGATTTGTCAGTTCCCTGTCCAGTCCTTCCTACTCCAAGCATGATCTTGTTGGGGCCTCCAACTTTAGGGGAAAATCGGAATTGAGGTGGGTACCTTTATCGCTTTTGCTATCGATCTTGTTGGGGCCTCCAACTTTAGGGGAAAATCGCTTTTGCTATTTTTTCACTTTCAGCTCTAAGGTCTGTACCCCCTTTAGTGTTCAATATGTTTGTAGTTGGACCGCATTACTGATGACGGATTTTAGGCATCCCAAATATTTGGCTATGGAGTGTTCATAGGTCTCTTTAGTTCACATTTCAACTTGAGCTCATAAATTCTAAGATGTACTGTTCCATTGATAGCTCCTGCTACAGGTAGTGGAGTTTCATGAAAATATCTTGGAGATAATGTGGGGTTAAGTGTTGTCGTCGCATCACCTTCTTCATCTTCTCCCAAGAAGTGATTTTGTCCCGTCCTTCCCTCTGTCTCTTCCTTTTTTCGGGTTCTCCTATCACAAGGAAGCATTCTTTGTCAGCTTGATGACAATTAGTTTCACTCTTTTGTCATCTAACATGTCCTTGTCTTCAAATATCTGCTCAACGGTTTGCATTTACTCGAGGAGATCGTCTGGATTTATCCTTCAGTCGAAGTCTGGTAGGTCCACCTTAATTCACAGAACTGTGCTTTCCAACAGGCACTTCTTATTTCGATCTCCTCTGATACTGAATTTCGAAACGCCCTGATCGATTCTCCCCTTCATTGAATTCATTCTTACGAAAGGGGTTCAAGTGTTCTTCTGGCTCTCCTTCATTGCTTTCACCATTATTGTTAACGGTGACCTCAACCATGGTCCTTTCTTCAATGACCTCGAGCCATTGTTAGCCCTTGGCAGAGTGGCCGCTGTATATCACCCATGGCAAAGTCTTGATCAGGTTCCAGTAATTGACTTCTCGGCGGCATGGTTAGGGTTTAATGGTGGATGGGTTGGGCAAAACGAATTTTGGTAAGATAGGTTTGGGTACGGCTGATGTTAGAAACTCTAGGATGAGAATAGGGTTAGGTTGGCTCTGATACCAAATGATTTCGGAGTTAACCCAAACCCCTATGGACAAAACAAATATTATTACTCGAAAGCAAATATATGTTACAATCTACAATGTTTGAAACTAGGAAATAACGACGCAACATAGGTCAACTAGGGCTGAGCGCAAAGTCGACGGTGCAACTGTTTAAGGGGAAATAGTAACTAAAATAGCTCGGATGTGGTTGGAAGGGCGGTGCGAGGTGGATAAAAATGAAGCTTTCGGCAAGTTGTAGGGACTTTAAGGAAGCCGGCAACAGATTGTAGGGGCTGGAAGGGGGAGACAGCAGGTTGGAGATGGCTGGGAGGTGCGGCAGCAGCTTAGAGATGGCTGGAAACAGGGTGAAAGCAGGTAGGGAAGTGGTTGGAGGTGCTGGTAGCAAGCTGAAGATGGTTGTAAGGGATGGTAGCTAAAACTATGAGTTGGGGTTTTGTTGCATTATTTTAGGTTTGTGCGGTGGTAATGCAGTGAAGATAAATCGGTGTTAGTTTTAGGAGAATTTGAATATGGTAGGTTAGATGGAAGTGCGCTTTTTTTTTTGTTTTTTGAAGATAAATCGGTGTTAGTTTTAGGAGAATTTGATTATGGTAGGTTAGATGGAAGTGCGCTTTTTTTTTTTTTGTTTTCTTAGATGGAAGTGCGCTTTTTTTTTTGTTTTTTTCCTTTGGAAAAAAACAATGCATGTAATTTTATTCATTTTAAAGCATTGTTTTATTTTGTTGAAACTTCTTGATTTTTGTTTACCTTGATGTTCATACAGTCTTTTTTGTTATAATAAGTTATACTTTTCTTTAATTTTTATTGAGGTGATTGCATTTCACGTCAAATGTCTTACATGCTTCTTGCTCCTAATTTTATATTTTTAAATCTTTCTACAAGTGTTTTTACTGATGTGTTTTCATCGAAGATATCTCTTTTGGCTGCAAGAAATGAGAGAGAAAGTGTTCAAATAGCTTTGCGCCCCAAAGTTTCTTGGGCTTATTCTGGCATTGCTGGTGCCATACAGATGCACTGTACTGACTTGTGCTCCTCTTCTGGTGATAGGTTTGTTTCTCTCTAGTGATTTGTCTTCTCCCCTTATTTGTTATGATTCTTGTGATGATTGTCTTGGCAGGCTGGTGGTGGGACAGTCCTTAATTTTGCGGCGCGTGGTGCCTATTTTAGGTGTGCCTGATGCTCTTGTACCTCTTGATCTCCCAGTTTCTCAAATAAACCTGCTTCCTGGGTACTGGCTTTACATATAACATCTAAGATTGAATCCAGGTGACAATGTCCTGAATCTTTAAGTTTTCCATCAGCAATCTAACCCCACCTTTTTTTTTCTTTACATAGCGAAACTACGGCAGTCTGGCTTTCTGTTGATGTGCCTCCTGGACAGCCGCCAGGTCATTACGAAGGACAAGTTTCCATTAGTGCTGTGAAGGGTGAGCTGCGGTAAGACAGCCCTTTTATGCTTGTTTGGTCCCATATAATTAGTTTACATGGAATAAGAATGCAATATCAAGTAAATATTTCTGTTCAGTTAAATCGAGTAAAATTAATTTATAAAGTAAACACACCCATTATTACTAGTCCAAAACTAGTTAGTCATTTACTTGTATCTATTTGAGAGGTATTTATGCAAGAGTAAATGTGTTTACTTGCCGAAAACTTCTTGAACATTTTAGGTTAACTCTAGAAACTTTTGTAATAGTCTATAGGTTATAGTTATTTGCATCTCTAGTCTTTGTTTGGTGATTTCGTTGTCTTCTTTGGTAGTTTTTTTTTGTTTCAGTTTGTGTGGTGAGGTTTATCATATTTTCCACTTATAGATGTAAAGCAGAATCTATGCCTAAGTTAGAGAAGTCTGAACTATATAGACAACTTAAAAGCTGCCTTGATTCAGTTGATTCAGTTGATTCAGTTGATGGAAGAACAATGGATGAATTGGTATGTCCTAATTGTTTATATTTGTTGCATTGAAAACTTTAGTTTAAACATGCTCTTATACGTTATTAATTGTCTTTTAACATTTAGGTTGAGAGAGAAAAATATACCACATCAGTTTTGAGAAGAGTACTTTTTTCACCGTTGTTCCATGAACTTTCTTCTGGTAATGGTTCAACAGAAATGATGGATGAAGATGATTTGACAAATCTTTCCATACAATTAAAGATAAGCGTTACAGTGTGGGATTTTACTCTTCCAATAACACCTTCCCTTCCAGCTGTAATTGGCGTATCCTCATCTTTTATTTTCATGTTGAGTAAAATTGTTTACCCGGCTTATTATATGGAGTAAAATGCTGAATTAACGAGAAACTCGAGTATTTTCTTGATTATAAGTATAGGTATCTGAAACTGTGATTGAGGACCGCTTTAGGGTGAAACATGGCACTGATCTCTGGTTTGGTGCGTTAGATCAGCATTTTAGGTGGCTTCTTCAGTATAGGATCAGTCCTTTCTTTTGTAGATGGGGTGATAGTATGTGTGTCTTAGCTTACACTTGTCCATGGCCAGGTATTTTTTCACCTCTATTAGCTAATGCTACATCGATTATTATTGATTTTAGTGGCAATTAAAGAGAAAATATTTGATGGTAAATTTTTTTTTCCAAGTATAGCGCGCCTGAACGATCTCCTTTCTCTTCTCTTTCTGTGAATAGCGGATCATCCCAAGTCAGATGAGTACTATTCCGATCTAAGATTAGCGGCTTATGCTGTACCTTATTATCCCGTTTTCTCTAGGTATGCTTTCATTCCATATGCTTAGTACTTGTTTGGGATCAATTTTATTTTTTATTTGGGACATTTACATATATAGCATACAATTCTTATGTATTTATATATTTCACACCTAAACTTTCATATTTGCACACGTATCACGCAAATCTTTGACATCACATCAAAAATAGCACTATTATTATTTTTAAAAAGTGAAATACATATTTTCATGCATATTTTTAAAGCACCATAGTGTTATGTATGTAAATATTAAAGTTTAGGTGCGAAATATGTAAATAAATAAGAATTGTGTGTTATGTATGTAAATTTTCCTTTTTTTTATTATTTTTTTCTTTTTTAAAAAAAAGTTTTATGTGTTTAATAAATTTTTATATTTCTAAAAGTAGATGTTTTATATTTGACTTATGTTAAAAAAGACAAAGTTAGACCTAAAAAGACTTGGGAACGTTGTATAATAAACTATCTTAATTTATTAGAATTAAATGAAAATATGACACTCAATAGGACACAATGGAGAAAAAGTATTTTAATATATCCGATCCTGCTTAATGTGATAAAAACTTGTTGTTGTTGCCGTTTCTAAGAATAAATATGTTTTTGAAAACGTTCAAAATAACTTTTATGTGTTTTGAATGTCTTAAAGAACCATAATATCTTAATCAAACATACTAAACATGATTTATTTCAAATCAAAACATAAATAGAACAAAAAAAACAAAAAAAAAAACAAAAAAAATATCAAATTGATCTCAAATGGCCCCTTATATGGTTGAGATTGTTGAAGAACTTGTAAGCTACTGGTTTTTGTGATATGTAGCAGTAGTGCTGGTGCAGAAAAAGATTCCTTGCGGAAGGAGGTTGAGATATTGAAGAACAAGGCTCATTGGAAAAAAGCTTACTTTTACTTGTGGGATGAGGTATGGATATTCAATGTTAAGTTGTTTCTTATGTTGTTATGGTAAAATCTTCTTGATAACCAACAGATGCGGAACCATGGATTTCAGAATTAACCTCGACATAATGCGATTAGATTTCATATTTATTATTTAAATAATTCATTCCTTTTATTTCTTTTTTTATACCTGTGCCGTAGGTCAACAACTATTTTTTTGTTGTACATCATCTTTACTCATCATTATCATGTGCTAAACAAAATGCTTATGTTTCAGCCATTGAACATGGAGCAGTATGAAGTGATTCGCAGCATGTCTAGTGAGATAAGGACTTATGCATCAGACGCACGCATCCTTACAACTTATTACTGTGGTAAGAAAATGCTAAATGCATTTGTCTACACTTTGGTTCCATTTCTCTTTATGATACCGGAGTTAACCCAAAGAACAATCGGAAAGAACCTTTTATTGTTGAAATTCAAAAAATGGTACAAACACGACTTTTGATAGTAGAAAATTAACCACACAAACATAAAAGACACCCTAGGGCTAGGATGAGGGTGTCGTATGGCGGCTAGACAACAGGTAGAGGGTTGGTTTTGGAGGTAGTTGTTGGGGCGGGATGACCTGAAGTAGATCTTGACCGCAACCAACTTGCTAGCTCGGACTAACAACAGTAACAGGCAGATAGAAAGAAGGTTGGCGACAACTGGCTGAGGAATTGGAAGATTGGTGGTAGCAGTTCGAAGATCTATGAGGAGGTTGGTGGTAGTTGGGTGGAAGGTTGGGGCACTGGCAACATCCCTTGAGGGTTTGGGACAGCTGTAATAGCAAGCAGTCAGTGATGGAGGTGCAAGAGCAACAACAACACCAAGCGGGGGAGGGAAAGGGGATTCAAGATTGAAGAGATAATCATCACCTCGGAGCATGATACAGCCGAAGCACCACCTGTCCTCGGATACAGCTCTTGCAAGGGGGGGAGGGAACACCGGTGGCTTTCTTGATAGAATACTTAGCAAAAATTGAACCCTAAAGCCGGAAAACACATGAATACTCGTAGATAGCTTGGAGGGATGGGACCCCTTTCTATTCGGGCGGCAACCCTCTTTCCTAGGGTCGGGATGGCTTGAAGTAGATCTTGACCGCAACCAACTTGCTAGCTCGGACTAACAACGGTAACAGGAAGACAGAAAGAAGGCTGGCGACAACTGGCTGAGGAATTGGAGGATTGGTGGTGGCAGTTTGAAGATCTATGAGGAGGTTGGTGGTAGTTGGGTGGAAGGTTGGGGTACTCGCGACGTCCCTTGAGGGTTTGGGACAACAGTAATAGCAAGCAATCAGGGATGGAGGTGCAAGAGCAACAACAACACCAAGCAGGGGAGGGAAAGGGGATTCAAGATTGAAGAGATAATCATCACCTCGGAGCATGATACAGCCGGAGCACCGCTTGTCCTCGGATACAATTCTTGCAGGGGGGGGGAAGAGGGAACACCGGTGGCTTTCTTGATAGAATACTTAGCAAAAATTGAACCCTAAAACAAAAAAACACATGAATACTAGTGGATAGCTTGGAGGGATGGGACCCCTTTCTATTTGGGCAGCAACCCTCTTTCCTAGGGTCGGTCGACCTTAATTTTGACTCCTAACTGAACCCCAGCTGAACCGGTCTGGTTCAACCAAGAACCCATATGTCAGTCTCTCAATGTTTGGGGAGAGCTTTGACCTTATTCATTGAAGCTTCTGGTTGCACGTTGACGGTGATGTAGTTGTTGTATTCTCCTGAGACTGAAGGATCTTCTACTGCGGTCCGAGAAGCACCTGGATTCCACTGGCCACCGCACCGTCCCGCAAAGCACCTGAGGGTTTTTCCCCACTTGCGAGCATACGCTATATTGATCCACCTTCTGGGGGTCAATTACTGAGTTGTTGGGTTTGCATATCATGCATATAATGTTAAATGCTCCCAAAGTAATCCAAGGTCGACTCAACCTAATCTGAAGTGAGGGTAACTTGAACTTCCCCGAACCGTGGTGGCCATGATGGTAAGATATCGATTTTGATGTCCTTAAATGCTCTCTATCATGATTGTCCATGTCTGAAATTGTCTCTGTCTTATCATTCTCTTTCGTCACCAAAACCGGTTCCACTAACATCGCTTTGTTGTCAAGGGCGCATGTGATCTTGGGCTCTAGCAAAGGAATGACAATTTTCTTCCCTCCTTGGTGAAATAGTAGGGGTTTATGAATCTGTTGTGTTGAGTCATACGTTCAAATTGTCACGGTCTTCTCAATAAAATGTGGCAAGCATCCATGGGCACCACGTCGCACTATACATGATCCTATAGTCGACTCCCAATCGAAAACTTTATTAAGCATAATCGGTCAATGTCGACCCTGTTCTCCTTTTTCAGCCACATCAGATAATGTGGCTAAGAAACCCTTCGAGTCATGAGGTCCAACTTCTCGACCATTTGTGTAGACGTCGTATTCTTGTTGCTCCCTCCATCGATAATGAGATTGCATACATTCTCGTTCACAGTGCAACGGCTGTAGAATATGTTGTGGCGAAGCCACTGCATATCCATCGTATCCCCAGTCTGTGGAACCCGTCGAACCGCGAGCATCTTGCCTCATCCGGTGGGCGATGATGCACCTCACTTTGTTCCTCAGCCGCCTTCCGTCGCTTACCTCCTCCACCGCGCCTTGCTGATAAATGACACAACTCTACTCGTCGGGCAGCCGGAGACGATGTGCCCAAATCCATGACATCTGAAGAATTTTCGGGCTTACACTATATTAGGCGTGCTATTGTTCTCAGATTTTTTCTCACTCGAGGTGGTTATGTCCTTACTCCAATCAGTTTTCTTAACTCCCAGAGGCGTTCTACTGCTGATATCTCCAACTGCGGGTACTTCTTCTCACTCGGGGTGGTTATGTCCTTACTCGAATCAGTTTTCTTAACTCCTAGAGGCGTTCTCCTGCTGATATAACTCGAATCAGTTTTCTTAACTCCTAGAGGCGTTCTGCTGATATCTCCAACTGCGAGTGGGTGCTTGAATGGTGGTGGTTGATTGCTCAGTTTCTACTGCCTTTCCAACTTCAGGGTTAAGGTCTGGACATCTCTCAGTGACCAATAAGGTTGCAGTTGTAAGACGTTGCTTATAGCGGGTTTTAGGCCCCCCAGATAATGGGGTATGGTGTGTTCTTAGGGCTCGACCAACTCACACTTCATTTGCAACTAATCAAACTATCGTAAACTCTTCCACCGATAGATCTATCTACTGTACGTGGTGGAGTCTCAGAAACATATCTTGACGGTAATGAGGGGGTAAGTATTTTCTCTACATCTCCTTCCTCATTTTCTCTCACTTGGTAATCTTGTCACTGCCCTCTCTCTTTTTCCCTATCTCTGTAAATTTTGCAGTTTAATTGCCGTTGGTATCTATCTCTATAAATTTTTCCACCACAGGGAAGCTTTCTTTTTCAGCTTAATGATCGCTAGTTTCACTTATCTATCCTCTGTCACTTCCTTATACTCGAAGATTCTTTCAACTGATTGCACTCATTCGATGAAATTGTAAGGATCCATACATCCATCGAACTATGATAGATTCACCTCTATTATGAAGTCTCTATGTCTTTCATATGTGGCCTCCTCTTTCTACCTCTTCTGATACTGGATTCTAAAGTGTCGTGGTCTTTCTTCTTCATCACTGAAATCTTCCTTATGGAAGGGGTTGAAATTCTTGTCTCTTTCTCCCCTTTAACTTGCCCTATCACGATTGAGGGTAATTTTTCCCGGGGCTTAATCTTCTATGTCCGTAAATCTCTGTTGAAGTCGACAGATCTCTTGTTGTATCTCATTCCGTGTAGGCTTGGGCTTATATTTTCTTGGTGGCATGGCTAGGGTTTAGGGTTGAGAGATGAAAGATGATGTATGAGACTAATTGATTGGGTAGAAAAAATAATTTGGGGTTACTGATTTTAAAAATCAGCAAGGGGAAATCAGGGTTATGTCAAAATTTGTCTATAGCTTGGGAATAGAAAAGAAAATCTTTTGGTGGAGGTGGCTTGGGTAGGGAAGGATGTTAGGAAACTTGTGGAGGTGGCTTGGGTAGGGAAGGATGTTAGGAAATCTTAGGATAAGATTAGAGTTAGGTTAGCTCTGATACCAAATGATAGTGGAGTTAGCTGAAACATAATTGAAAAATAAGTTTTTATTGTTGAAATTCAAAAAGAGATGAACGACGCTTCTTTGATAATAGAAAATTAATCACATAAACATAAAGACACCCTAGGGCGAGGATGAGGGTGGCGTATGGCAGCTAGACAACAAGTAGAGGATTGGTTTTGGGGGCGGTTGTTGGGGCGGGATGGCCTGAAGTAGATCTTGACCACAATCGACTTGCTGGCCTGGACTAATGACAACAACTGGCTGACAAAAAGAAAATTGGTGAATTGGAGGGTTGGTGGTGGAAACTAGAAGGTCTGGGAGGAGGTTGGCAGCAATTGGGTGGAAGGTTGGGGGATTGGTTGCAACCCTTGAGGGTTTGGGATAACGTTAATGGCAAGCAATCGAGGATGAGGTTCGGCAGCAGCGACTAGGCGGGATGCAGGAGCACAAATAGTAAGCAGGGGAGGGAAAGGGGAGCAGAGATCATGAAGATCGAAGAGGTAATCACCACCTAGGAGCATGATACAACCGAAGCACCACCTGTCTTCATATACAATCCTGACAAAAGAAAAGAGTGGACCTCAATGGTTGTCATAATAGAAAACTCAACAAAAAATGAATCTTAAAACAAAAAAAACACATAAATACTAGTAGATAGCTAGGAGAGATGAGACCCCTCCTATTTGAGCGACAACCCTCTTTCATAGGGCCAGCCGACCCTATTTTTCCTCCCATTTAAACTCTAGTTAAACCAGTCTGGTTCAGCCAAGAACCTCCGCGCCACTTGATTCTTTTCTTACACCCGTGGTTATTTTTTTTACACCCTAAACCCTAAACCCTAATATATATATATATATATATATAAACTATGTATTTTATGTTAACTGGTGAATGTTATGCTATGGTCTAGGAAAATGTGGTACTCTTCTTTTTTAAAAAAATAATTGCTTACTGGGCCCATATAATATTGCTAGACTTTGACAAGCAGTGGATGGTGTTTTGTGAGATTTTTTTAACCATTGCATATAACATTTGCATGGTACACACATTTGTATGGAAAATATTAGTTGTAACACTTCCTCACCACTTACCACTACAATAAGAATAAGTTAATTGATTTTGTCTGCACTAATGGTTCCTTTTTTTAAAAGGTACATTTATACCTTGTGGTTCCTGTGCTAACAAAATAGCAAATAAATA